ATATAAAGTTCTCTTAAAAATAGAGCTTTGCCCATATTAGAATCTGCTGACACTTTCAAAATCTTTGGCTTTCCCATTCCCAGCCTTGCTGTTTACCCAAACAGTATGTTACACTTGCAACTCAAGTACAAGACAAGAGACAGAGAGAGCAGGGTCCAAGTACAGGCTGACCTACAAGTGAAATGAGATGTCACCTCATTTTCTACATGGGGATCCCAATTAGCTATAAATTAACTTGTGAATCTCTGGGTTTCTTTGAAGTTTCTTCCTAGTGCCTAAGTCTTACTGTCATTTCACAATGAGTATGTAATTCTTTTGTAAATATTTTAACTGTTAACAAATCTGGTTAAGTCTGTTGAGAAAGGAATGAAAATAAGGTCTGGATTTCAGTCTCACACTTGAGCAATGTTATCCCATGTTAGACAGAAAGATAACTTAGTTTTAGATGTTACAGGAAGATTAAACTTCCTGGAGACTAGAGACTTGAATTGCTACCTACCCTTTGGTTTTAATCATCATACAAATCAATGTGGCAAAATGTGTTTATCATTAATTATTCTCTTTGCTAATAAAAATTTTGATGGAAAAGGGTTTACATGAAGAAATAACTTAAGTGATATACACTGGCTTATTTTCCTCTTTCCAAATCTTATTTAAGCATTGAACCTAGGGAATTAAATTTTCTCCCACAGTATACCAAAAGGATTTATTACCACTAAATTCAAAATTTCCACAGGCAGTCCCTTATTTGCTCTATTGTGAGTTAAATATACAGTAATTTGATTCTAAAGAACGAAGTATATAATGTTTATTTAATAACAAATAGGCCTGGATGTGAACAAAGAGAAAGGTTGGTTTCATCATAGCAAGTAAAAGAAATATTTATTCCTATTTAAACTTGTGCTAAATGCCTTAACTCAACAAATAAGGCAAAATTACTTGGTTTGCTTTTTTTTGTTTTTTTTTTTGGGTACTGGGGATTGAACTCCGGACCTTGCGCTTTCAAGGCAGGAGGCGGCTCCACTGAGCTAAATCCCAGTTGTTATAAAATCAACTTTTAGCTGAGTATGGTGGTCTGTAATCCCAGTACCCTGGGAAGCTGAGGCAGGAAGACTGAGTCTGAGCCAAGCCTTGGCAATTTAGCCTTACCAAATCAGTCTCAAATTAAAAAAAAATTTTTTTTTAAGGTGTGGGCATGTGACTCAATGCAAAGGTTCAATCCTTAGAACCAAAAAAACAAATAAAAACAGATCACGGATCAAAGGTGTAAATTTAAAAACTAAAATCATAAAACTCTAGGAAGAACACATAAGAGAAAAGCTTCACAATGTTGGATGGGCAACTGTTTAAGTATGACAGTAAAAACAAAGGTAAGAAAAAACCAAAATCAACTTCTAATTTCTGCTAAAGCTTTTCAGTCTCTTAGTATTATCACTATTATTTTAAATGCAAAGTTTACCTAAAAATAATCATCTTTGAAAAACAAGTTTTAAGCATGTAACCAGGATTAAATTAATGGGTATATAAAATACCTAGCTGTGGTGATGTATTTCTATAAATCCAGCACTCTGAGAGGCTGAGGCAAGAACACTCCAAGTCCAAATCCAGCCTGGGCAACTGAACAACTAGGGCCTTGTCTCAAAATAAAAAGAAAAGAAAAAACATTTTAAAGGACCAGGTATGTAGCTCAGTAAAAAAGGCCCTGGGTTTAATCCCCAATACCACAAATAAATATATATCTAAAATGTTTAAGTCACAGTTTAGTACAGAGTATTTTCATTGGTTTCAAATAAATTACCATGAAAATATTACAATTAGGTTTCAAGTGTGAGGTTTTGAATCCACACTAAAAATTTTTTTAGGATTTTAATCAAAAACATTTAAATGAAAAATTTTAGTTTACTGCTCCTAAATACAAATCTTTCATTGTTAATATTAATCTTTCATTGTTTCATTTCTCATTGCAGAAAAATTAGAAACTGTACAATTTATGGCCTGGAAAGTTAAAGGCCCAGAAACTAGCTGCTATCTGCTGAATTTCAAGGGAATTTACTATAAATGAAATTTTTCAAAAGTAAACTCGCCTACCCTCTCATTGAACACTTTCTCGATTTTCCCATTACAATTAACAATATAACTCAGCGGTCAAGTCTTCCAGACCAGTAACCTCACAATTTATTTTTATCTCCTGACTCCACAAATGTTCCCCTTCAATGCAATCCAAAGTCCTGCCAGTTCTTCAATCACACTCTCAATTCTGTTCTTTCATTCCATTTTCACATTTTATTTTATTCCCTCATGATTCTCAACAAATCCCGCTATTTCCCTAAAAAGGCTCTAATGTCTTTCTACTAAAACTCATAAATTCAGCAGTCTAAATCATCTTTAAATATCTTGTTCAGCAATTTACACTAAATCCAAATCTCTCTTGAATCTCAAACTTACAGGCCCTTCTGCTCTCTTATCAACTAATCCTCCCCTATTCCTCAATTCCACTTCATATTTTCCAGGTAAACAAGGTCCCTTTAATTCAGATTTACCAATTCCCATGCTGTCTCTCACAAAATTCACTGTTTCTCTACATTCTTTCCACCTAAAGTCCTTTATGCTTCTCTATCCGTTCAGTTACAGCTCCTTTTAACACCTGTCTCAAAACATACCTTCTCTGAAGAAGTCCTCCTTCTCCAACTCTTCTTTCTCATCTCTTTATTCTTTGTTCCTCTGAACAAAGGATTCAATTTGTATTTTATAATTATACGGTCATCGTGCTAATGTTTCCTATTTTTTTTCCTCATAACCTGCCTCAATTATTAAGTAGGCTTTTGAGGACAAGAACTGTAATTGCTTATACATCTTCATTTTGAACAGGTCTCTTAGACTACTAGTACCTTAACAAATGCTTAAAGGGCTCCCATTTCTTTTAAGTCTCCTCAAAATCAAGGTTGTCAAAATTAGCATTAAATAACTTTTTAAATTAAATTGAACTGTATGGTAATATAAAATTAAAACTTTTAACCTACACACTTAAAGAGTTACTGTATCCTTGGTCAACATCTCTGAGGAGAGCTAAGGAGTTATTTTCAAAGAAATCCTGGAAACAAAATGAAAAGTTCCAAAACTTAGCATTATAATCTAGGTATAGAAATCTTTCGAATAAAACTAATAAACGAATTGCCTAAAATTGATTTTGAGTGATCTTTAAACTTACTAACAAGATGTAAAGTATACAAACACTTCAGTACAAGAGGTTCTTCAATAGCTATTTTAAGATCTGCTTCATCATAGCTGAAAATCACCCCCAGAATTTTAAAAATAATTTTTTCAAATGACCCCATGAAGTGCTTAGAAAGTGTGATCCTTCCCTGAAACACAAAGTCAGTTTCCCTCTTCACATACTCTGCATTCTCCACTAGCTAGTCACTGAGGGGAAAAATTAACTTTCAAAAATAATCTCACATTCAGCTATTACCTGGGGCTATCCTGTTTCAGCCAAGTTCTAAAAGCCAACAATTGAAATCTTGAGCTCAATTAAAAGTAACCATTTTATGTTGCTTAAGGATATTATCAATTTCACAGAACAGCATATACATTTGGGGTTTAAAATTTTTTTTTAAATCTCAGTTCTAGAAACAAAACAGTTTAACTTGTCCTTATCACACCCCTTTCAGGAAATAAGGAAACAGTAGAGATACTTTTATCAAATTCTCAAAGTATGTTTAAATAAACTGTCATTAAATACCACATAAACATCTCCACAAATAGATAACATTAGAACACTAGATACTTAATATACCAAACACTTCAAGAACGCAGACTTTCCAGGACAAATCCAGCACAAGAGTACAGTATAGACAACAGTATAGATACAACCTTGAATGCTGCTAACACTGCCCCAACACAAACCAAATATCCTCATTATATCCAAGATCACAGTCTTCTGCAGAAACTATTCTGGAAAGGCCTAAATCCATTTTCTTACAACAAATCCATACTCTTTATCTAAATGCGATGGAAACTAATGCTACAGTATGTTAAATAGTCTTAAAAAGGAATCCCAATAATGTATTCTAGAACATTTAACAAATAATGAAGGCAATGGCACCTCAAAACTGAACTTAAATGACAATGAGCCAGTGGCAATTAACATTTAACTTAGTCTTTGGCACTATGACAATACAAACCTCAATCAAAACTTGGACCTACTTCCAAGTTACCTATTGATTAAACAAATTATATGGTGGCAGACTGGTAACGTCAGAACAGGAAGGTTAGGAGATAACACAACCAACCACTTATCCAACTGAAGACAATGCATTTAGAGATGTAACTGCTGTTGGATATGCATCGGCTCCCACCTACTAAAAGGATCGATGCTCGCCTCCAAACGTGAATACCAGCCACTGAGCAAGTTCATCCCCAGATTAAGAACAAATACTTTGAAGGAAAAAAAAAAGAACAAATACTTTGTTTAGTCACACAGCACCCCCCCCCACCTCCCAAAGTGAGGAAGCTAGGACTTTTAATGTCTCTATTAAGTATACAAAACTATGGTAACTCCTGAGACCCAAACTAACTAAAATATTCTCCCTTTATAACAGAAGACATACCCCCGGCAATGTACATAATGGTTTATAAATCAAGGCTTATCCTCTTTATTCAAAAGAATAGGTAACGAAACACTTCTATCGCTATTTTAACGTAGAAATGCTCGAGCACTTGATAAAGCTGACCACGAACAGCAATAAGTGTGTAACAAGTTAAGTTTCAAGTTGATTCATCCAAATTATATTCTCTCAATTCAAGGTTAATGAGACCGGGGGAGGAGGTATGGGAGGAGAGAAGAGGGAGCTGCCTCATCCTTGACTGAAGACAGGTTTTGCCCTTTTCCATTACCTCTGATTGTTCTCTCAGGAGGGCTAAAATTAAAGACCCTGGTATTTCGAGGCGTCTTATTCTAAAGGTGAGGTGGAGAAGGGGTGTAAAATAAAATCGATACTCACTGCTAACTTTCATGCTGCCAAACGCTGAAGGCTGCTGCACTGGCTTGCAGCTCTCCGCAAAGGAGGTGGTTCTCGGCCGCCCCGACATGATTGCTCTTCCCGAATCACCTTTTCCTTCCTTCTTTTCTTCCTTTTGTTTTATGTTGGGGCGTTAGGTTAATGATAAATGCAGCATTAAGTTCTCCCACAAGAAAAAGGAAAAAAAAAAAAGGACTTCGTTCTCTTGGCTTTTCACTCCTTTTCTATAGCTATTTAAAAAAAAACAGCGATGTATTTCTCCTTCAAGATAGATAGGTGGATATTCAACATATAGATGATTTGGGGCTGGGGAAAAATATAATTCTTTCACCTTCCTTTTCCGGGAAGGGAGAAAAGAGGTGGTGAGGGGGAACCTTAAAAATATATTTATCACGTGAAACGGGGACAGATAACTTGATTGAAAATAAGTACTTAGATATTATATTTTCCTCGGGGATTTTTTTTCCCGAGTCAATGAAGAAGGGAAGCGGCGGAAGGATCACGAGTCTCACGCTTGAAGAGAAGGGGGATGGGAAGGAGGGAGGGAGGTGGCGGCTCGGAGATGCGACGGGAAACGCTGCGACTCCGGCAGCGACCGGATCCGGCGGGGGGACGGCGGGGACCCGGAGAACGGGAGGGCGGCGGAGTCGCGAGTCAAGTCAGCGGCGGGCGGCTCCTCTCCTCATTGCGCCAGTAGCAGCTGCAGGCGGCGGCTGGATCCAGCGGCCATGGCGGCGGCGGCGGCGGAGGCAGCTCCCTTCAGACCCCAGGCAGCGGCTCCTCGACTGCTCCCCATACGCCGGGGACATGGGAACCCGGCAACCGCTTCCGTCCCTCGGGGCCCCCTCCCCCGTCCGCAGCACCGGCGCGGCCGCCCTCAGCCCCTCGCCTCTGCTCCTTGCCCGCTCAGGAAGTGTCCGCGCTTTGCCCCCGGCCCGGAGCCCTGTCAGCGGTTGCGAGGTCGGCTCCTCCTCGCTTCCTTCCTTTGTCACTCGGCCCGGGCGGCGACGGCGGCGGCACAAGCCCGCATTCACCCGGGTCGAGGGTCTGCTCTGTGTGAGGAGCGCCGTCTGCGCAGCCGCCTAGCGCTTCCCCACTCCCCCCCTCCTTCCTACTCGTCCTCCGCCTCCTTCCTCCCCCACCCAACCTTATACCGCCTAGCGCCCCGCTGCTGCTTAACAGGCGTCTGGGAATCGCCGGCCGAACCCGCCCCCCCCCCCCCCGCTTCTTCGGCCGAGAGGCCGAAATCCAAAGCGGAGCCAATCACTTACGTCGTTTGTTTGCGGCTTCTTCCGGAAAAACCCGATCGGCCTGAGGAACCAATTAGAAAGTATCGTCGAGAAGCCACGCCCAAGGAGCGGAAAGGGCCGGAGGTAGCCGAGCCGAAGAAGCTGGATTCGCCTAACTCTGTGGATGGCTGGAGGGGAAATTCGACAATAGGAACCGTGGCCAATCAGAGTTGTCGGCTCTCAGGAAAAATCGTGAAGAGTTAAGGATGGTGAAACCCGGAGTCGAGGGTGAAACTGCACGGCGAGGTGCCGCGGCCGCTTCGTAATTGGCCGGAAAACTCCGCTGGGAGTGTACCTCTCTCGGTGATTGGTGAGGGGAAGGGGGCTTCCGAGGACATCTGGCCAGTCAGAACGTCTCCTCCCTCGCCGAAGAGGGGAGAAGAAAGCGAAGGGAGGGCATCTGTAAGGTGCAGTCTCATTGGCCTGAGGCTTTGGCGCTGGAGTGGGGGCAAAAGGGAAAAGGAGGGAAGCCGAAACCCGCGGCGGCAGCCAATCGGCACTCACTGCTGTGCAATCGCAAGACCTAGCTGCAGTACGATTGGCCTCCGGCCGCCGCCAGCGGTCCCAGGAGCCGGAGAAGCTGGACCCAGGTCGTGGCTGCCGACCTGCCGGGCTCGTCTGTGGCTGCTCCCTGCCAGCCAGTGCGGAAACCGCAGATGGGGCGCGCGGGCCCTCTGCACAGCCGGTCCGAAACTGCTGCGGTCGGCGGGGCTGGGAGCGGGGCGCAGGAGCGAGCAGAGAGACTGAGGGCTCTCCCCACCCACTGGGGGTTCCCCGCGGGACGCGGCTCATTCTGCAAGCCCGAGGCTTCCAGCCGCGCGGGATCGTGCCTGCGGAGGGTCGGGCAACGACCTGCCCTAAAGAGCTGGATGGACCCAGTAGCCGCCCAAACTGGGTACGAGCGCTCAGACGCAGAAATGGGAACAAAGCTTCCAGAAGGGCAGAGCCCTAAGTGGCCGCGCCCCGCCCAGCCGCGGGGGCCACTGATAGCGGTGGCCCCCTGCGCCTATCCGCGGCCAGGCCCTGCCTTCTGGAAACGCCCCTGAGAGATGAGCTCATGCCAGATGCGCGCGCTCCTTGGCGCCTCTGCCCAGGCTGAACGGGACCCAAAAGCAGGTGAGGGGAAATGCCGTCAGCCCGGATATCCTGAAGCTCCGAGGAAACAGAGTCAGAATTGCCCGTGGTAGCTTTGAGTCCTTTGGAACGAGGTTCATCTTTAAAAGTTTAGGTTCCACATGTAGGATAGTGTTCCACCCGAGTACTAGTTCCTTCGGTTCGCCTGAAAACGGTGAGGCTACGACAGATTAGAGAAGGTAGAATGGACACTTGCCATCCTGATAGTAATCCAGTGGTGTTTGTAATTTCTACCTGCAGACTCATCCTTTTCTGTTAAGATACTATCTTCAGAAAGCACGTGTAAAAGTACATGTACTTTATTAGATTACCCAGCTATTGCTTTGAAAAACTGAAGAGGGACACGGGACAGAACAAAGTAAGCTTTGATGGAAGACAGGATAGGTGTAGGTAGGGTGTGCAGATTCAGATGTCTGCAGAGGCCAGACAATTAAAGCAAATGAGACGGGTAAATTAGTGAGTTGAGACAATAGGGATTGATAAAGAATAGACAGTTGGAGTATTCGTGCCATTAGTAAAGGAAGTATCACAGCAGCACTTGAAGATTGTTGCCCTCAGGAATCTGGGCCGGTATTAGGACATACTCTTTTTTTCCTCCACCCAAGAGAAACCCTGAAGTTGGATTTTTGTGTGAGATCTCTAGATTTTTAAATATTGACAACCAATATTTCAAAACCCTGCAAACCAAAGTAAAAATAAAACAGGATAGATGGGGCTGATAGCCACTCGGTTTGTAATCTCAAACCTGAGCATAGGTTTTATAGCCCAAGAGCAGTAGAAGCTCTTATTTTTTGCAATTAAAAAGAGAACATGAGGTCACTGAAGGCCATGGGGGAGGATAATGTTAATAGCAAATTTATTACTTGGCAACTTTGTTATCTGAATGGTATCCCTCCATGATATTATGAAAGACCTTTGCTACTATTCCTAAAATGCTGTGAGGAAAAGCTTTAAATCTTACTTCTTTACTTTTTTACTTTTCATTCCTACTCCCAGTTATGCCAGCAGGAAAGTAACATGTTTAGGTTGTATGAACTGGAAATGGCTGTTCTTGTATGTAGTAAAAGGAAAATAGTCTACTTGAAGGTTATGTTTAGCATTACTGTTGCTGCTTTCAAATATTTTGAACTGATGCTATTTTTTTAAAAAAATCTTAAGGCTAAAAGGAAATATTAGGAAAAAAATTTATATTTCAGTTTTATAATAAGAATTGAAAACTGGAAAGTTTATTTTTTAAAAATATGTAACCACTGAAATTATCGTTCATTGGTTGTTTCCCTGAATTTTACCTTCCCAACTGCTGTCAATCACTTATTAACTATAATTCTAGTTAGTTCTTAGAAGGTGTTTACAGTGTGCCAGGCACTATTCTTAAATGTTTTATATATACTATCATTTAAATGTATAGCAGTCTTACAAAGTAAGTTCTGTTATCCATTTTTTCAGAAGAGGAAACAAAGGTGCAAAAAAGAGATTGGATATGGTTGACACTTTGTCGGTTTGTATCAAATTGTAAGGGTGATGAAATGACTTATTGACTGTACTACTGGAAATCATGAGCAAGAGCTTAATTGGGTAGTAGTATTAAGAGACATTTTTACACTTTAATCAATAATAAAAGTTAATTCTCCAGGCATGGTGGCTCAGGAGGCTGAGGCAGGAGGATTGCTGTGAGTTCAAGGCCAGCCTGGACTATACAACAAGATCCTGTCTCATAAAACTAATAATAATAACTAAATAAATAAAGTTAACTCAAGCGGTTAGGGCATATAGTGATCGGAACTGGTTAAAAATATATAACCACTGAAACCATCATTCACTCCGTGATGCAGTAGATCTAAAATAAAAAATAAAACTTATTCCTCCTATCTCATATGGCTTTGCACCCTTTGATTATCATCTCCCCATTTCCCCTTATTCAAGAAGAATTTTCAAAATATGAAATTACCCTTCAGATTGAAATGTAGCTATGCTAAAATGAAGTCTTCACAATTACCAGAACATTATGCATCTGACACAGTGTTAATAATTTTTTGAAGTAGGGGCAGGTAGTTGGAGGTTAAAAACAAAAATATCTGGGCCGGGGATTTAGCTCAGTGGTTTCACCGCCTGCTGCGCAAGTGCAAGGACCTGAGTTCGATCCCTGGTACCAAAAAAAAAAAAAAAAATCTGGGACTTTAAAAAATTAAAAGAATTGTTTTTAAAATATTATTTATGGTGCCTTTCATCTTTTTTTCTTCTATGTATATCTTATAATGTGTATATCAAGTTAATTTGAGATCACTGGGGGGAAAGTATGTAAACCACTAGTTTAAACAAAGATTAGAAAGAAAGGACATCCAAAGAAAAGAGAAGATATGCAATGACAGAAATGCGTGTAACAAGGAATTCGGAGACTAGGAGGTAGTATGTAGCATACAAAATCCAGACCAAGGAAAACAGTATTGGATAGTAAAATGTAGTTAACGCTGTATTAGTCCACACAGTAAAAATAAGTACTGTCACTAAAAGCAACTGAAGTACATTTTTGAAAGAATACTAATTGAAAAGTAAAATATTTGTACCATATTTAAAATCCTGCTTAATATAAGTACATTTGGATCATGATTGAAAATGAAGAGAAAAAAGAATAATTAGTATATTTTATTTTAGAGGGAATTGGCCCCCTCACATTTCTTCACTGTGATTCACATGTTCCTCAGAAGCCCACAAAATACAGTGAAATTAACAAAACCTTCAAATTTCTCAGCAAAGCTTTCCAACCAAAAATACTACTGATAAACCTTTGTTATGACTTAAATTAATGAGAATAGCCAATATTTATGAGACATACTAAATGCAAGACATCTGCTAGCATGTAATATAAAGAAGTACCTGAGAAAAAATAATAAAAGTCACATTTTCAATCCATGAAAAACTTGTGAGCAAAACATATTTGTTAATCTGGTTGTTATTCATATGCTCAAATAAATTGTGCAGTCCTATTCCTATTAGGTGAGTGGAGGACACTCCAATTTCAAGTGATTTGTAAAGGATGAGTAATAGGATTTGGAGATGGGGAAAGGAGAGGGCAAGTACATTGCTTTCCACCACTTCAATTCCAACCCATCTAAGAAAATCTTGGGTGGATGGAGCTGTCAGGGCAATTAAGGACAGGGTGAGTCTGTTCATCTGACTCCAGAAAAACCAGTTTGGCTGGAACAGAAAGCTGATAGAGGAGACTAGTGGGAGATAAGGTGCAGAAGGTAGTTCAGGGCCAGATTGGAGGGAACTTTGAATATAACTCAGAAATCTGAGCTTTGTCCTGTAGCTGGAGAGTTATGGGAGGTATTTTAGGACATGTAAGACATTCTATTATAAGAAAGCCTCTAAAGTAACATACATTGTGTGACTTTTCCTATTGTTGAAAATATGCCTAGGCTAGTGAGACACAGCACACTTTGTCATGCATGGTATAACCAATGAGGTGTACCCAATTGGGAACATATTGGATGACTACCCATAAAGAAGGGAAAGAATGTTTCAAACATTGCCACTATGAAGCAGCCTGGCTATATTCAATGTTTTGTATCAAGTCTTTAATAAATCATATAAATACTCTAATTTTATCATTTAAAGGAGCATGCTAATATAAAAACAAATCCTTGATATATCTTTTTCATTCTTTTATGCTTGTCA